CGGTTTTTAATTTTATATTATATTATATATTTTTTATATTTATATATATAATTATAGTATGATATGGTCATTAATGTATACTTATATATTATTTTAAGTGAATATTGTCATTAATGTATACTTATATATACTTACATATATATTTCTAATATATAATATATATAATTATAGTATGATATGGTCATTCATGTATACATTTATATACCTACATATAATATTTAGCTATATACTAATATGTAAGTATATACTAATACATACTTATATAAATATAATAAGGTTAATCTAATTTTTAATCATTTTTAGCAAAAAAAATTTTAAAAATGAAAAAATGCAAAAAATCTGGGCCGTGTAGTTTTTCTTATAACACAGAATATGGTATGAAGAACAATATGCGAAACATATATTGATTTGACAAATTTGGCTACCATACTTAGAGACATCATAGGGAAGATGTTTATATGCACAACCTGACATACATAAGTTGCAGTTTATAAATATTTATGTTACCTAGGTACTTCTATCATGAAGCCGTACCCGTACACGACACGTACCCGACCCAAACTTCATGGACACTCCTCAGGTATAAGCATGCCTTTATTCAAATATGTACTCAATTGTATGATATATGTTTTAATTGAAAACATTTTTCATACACTTCTTGATGTATATCCTACACTTCGTGTCCATTTCTTGAATCTAATTAGACGCAGGTCGGGTTTGTTTTAGCCCATATCCAAGTGTAAAACTATGATTTAAAAGGGTGGTTTGAGTGTCTAGTTAAAAAACGAGAATTTTTCAATTTATAATAATCAAAATAATAAAAGAAACTTTAAAATATGATAGAAGTTTAAATCCAAATTGCACATGAACTGAAAAATAATTTACACACACACTCACACGCATAGGCAAACACGCACATGCACGTGCACACACACGCACATGCACGTGCACACACACATGCACATGCACACAGGCATGCGTACACGTGCACACATGCACGCGTGCATGCACACGTGCATGCACACGTATCTACATTACACAAATTTGTCGTGTCCGTACCTGTACTTACCCGTACCACTATCTGTACCCTTTTCCATGCAACTTAGATAGATATACTTTAGTAGGAGTCAATTTTGCTTTTATTTTAACATTCTTATGCGTCGCTTATTTTGATTTTAATTACCCAGAATCTCTTTTACAACTTGTCCTATGTGCATGAGAGCTTTGGGCCAACATTAGTGTGCCTCTCTTCAAAATCTGTTTTCTCCCTCCTCTGTATGTGTTCCAATAATATTCTCTGCAAATTCATAAGTAATCAATACAGGCCTGGTGTTCCTGGGTGAACACATTTCTCATACTTAATGCTGCATTACCTTTGTAGTTTCAGGAAATTTTGGCTTTTTAAAGAGCTGGCCAAAGAATTTGGAGCACATTTCACCGAATTGTGCACCAAAATTTGAGAAATACTGGAGAATTATGCAAAATCAGAATCTATCAGGCAAGTATACTAGGGAAGTTGCAACCACCGTACAAATGCTTTGCTGTTGAATTTTATTTCTTGCTGTTCTCATATTCTATTCCTTCGTGTATTTAAAATAAGCAAGAATTTTTTATATTATAATTTTTGTAAAACAATTTTTATACATGTTATTGGTGTTTTGCATTGATGGTGCAAGTTCTTCAATTAAAGCATTTCCAGGGGGCACGCTCATGCACTTTTCTTCTATGAAATGTAAAACGTGCATGGCCAACAGGTGTCTCATGTATTACTGCCTTTTCAGTTCCACAGGAGTTGATAAAAAATTGTTTCGCAATTCCATTTTGCTTTTCTGCAAAACCTGAAATAATTATAAAAGAGAATGATTTCTGACCCTTCAATTTGAATGTTGAATCTTACGCCGTTAATATACTTCTAGGAAGAAAAATACTTTCTGGGAGTTTTTTTGGGCTGTCGGCTGTAGCTGGAGTGATGTATAACCAGCCGGTTCTTGCATATTCTATGGATGGTAATGTTACAAATATAACTAAATATTGAATGTAACTATAGCTTTAATAGCATCTCAGGTATATGTACCAACATTGTTCACATGTATTTTCAACATTGCAATGTGCAGATAATTATGCTGATGTAGAAGGACCATCAGGATTTTTGAAGGATGACATACATACCTTCTGGTCTTTAGCAAGGAAATTTGAGCTGCCTATTGTTCTTCTTGTTACGGTGTTTCTGGGATGGAGGCATCCTATTACACTTGCTGTCAACATTGCACTTCTTCTTTTCTGCACAAAGCCCAACCCTTTATCAATATACATGTTTGTTGAGCAGGTCTGTTCTGTTCCATACGTATTGAATTATTTACTTCCATGTTAGTTGCACATCATCTCACCTGCTAAAAGATAGCTTAAAGTTTAATAAGCTTTGTTTTGGTACTTTCATGATATCCATTTTGTTTTTTCTTGAATTTCAATGATAGATGACTGAATAAACAGGTGATTTCATGTCTTTTGTTTGGTTGGAACTGTTAATGATGCATTTTCTCTTCTATTGCTAAAACTTTACATGAGAACTTTTTGGTGTACAACTAGTTCTAGTGGAAGATCCATCGAGACCTGGAAAAGCCACTTAGAGGTTGTGTAATTTGGTTAAGGAACTTGTATCTATTCTACCCTCGGTGAGCTAGTAGTTTTAGTTTAAATAGAATTAGGATTTAAGTTCACTTTCGTCTTTTAGAAGTGTAAGTTTCTCTAGAATTTAATCATTTTGTCTTCATCCTTTATTAGGATTTGAACGCCTTGGGAACTAGAGTTTTAAATTAGGGGTTTAGTCGAATTATAACTTTATGTTAGAACTACAAATGTGGTAACTATTGGATAGTTCTTTAGTTTTACTTTTGACGAAAGATTAAAATTGATATTGATATTATTGATTGTTTGGATTGGAAGTTGAGTTCCATGTGTTTCTTCCTTCTAGTTCTCTTTCGCTGCATCAAATCTCTTTCTTATGCCTACATTCCACCCTTAATCAAAGCATCCTGCGCCACATTGAGATTAGAGCTAATGTTTGTCCAACCATAATGGGCAATAAATGTCCATCAGACTTTTTGCGATTGACAAGCTATCAACTTCATCTGATTCAATTTATTCTTGACCGACTTCTCTGCCACATTATCCTTCTCTCTGGCTTCAGTTTCCATATGTCAAAGGAGAAACCAGTTATTATAGCATGCTCAATTAATCAGCAAAATTTCAGATTATAACTTCCTTAATCCTCTGTGGCCTGACATGTACTTTCTTCCATATTTTCCTGATAAATATACAAATACAAACATTAAAGTTCCATTATAAACTAACAGTGTTGCGATTGAGTTATGCATGCTTAGTGTTTCAATTTAAATATGTGGGCACTTAATGGCTTCCAAACAATTTGCAATCCAAATTTGACCTAGATTTTTAGGAAGATATTGAATAGATTTCTACTACCTAGATGTTAAATTATGAATTTCTTATTTGATAGGAACTTTTTTAAGCCTATTGTATTAATTGAAATTGGTACATATTTGAAGGTCATGTTAGCTTACATGGTTTAATGGTATCTACCCCTGAGAACATGCTACCACACACTTTTAGCATAAAGTCTTAATTCAACTAAAACTCTAATTTAAAACTCTAATTCCTATGGCATTCAAATCCTAATAAAGGATAAAGACGGATTAAATTCTAGACATACTCAAACTTCTAAAAAATAAAAAATTATATTTAAACTCAACCTACTAGCTCACTGGGATAGGTAAAGGTCCAAGTTCCTTAACCGAATTAAATTTCATCACCTAGGTGGCTTTTCAGGCCCCAATGTGTCTTCTATTAGAACTGACTATACATCAAAACTTCTCATATGAGGTATTATCAATAGAAGAGAAAGTGTATTACCAACAGTTTCAACCAAACAAAAGACATGAAATCACCTGTTTATTCAATCATTTATCATTAAGATTCAAGAAAAAAACATAGTGGATAACAAGTAAAGTACCAAAACATAGCTGATTAAACCACACTATTGACTATTGACTCTCTCATCTCTTGCTTGGTAACTACTATATTCATGCATACGTTCTTATCTGAGGAACATATGCATAATGTAGTACATATTGGTGGTCAAGAAGTACCTAAAGGCTAAAACCTAAGTTGCATGGAAATGGACACGGGTACTGGTACGAGTGCGGGTACGGGTAGGGGACACGGCAAAACTGTAAAATGTTGGGTACATGGACACGACTATATATATATATACGTGAATTGTAAACTACTCATTTTTTTACTAGACATCTAAACGACCCATTAACTATATAGTTTTGAACTTAGGTATGGACTAAAACGAACCCGACCCGTATCCCATTAGTTTCAAAAGACGGATGTGAAGTCACTGAAGTGTAAGCTCTACGTCCAGGAAGTCTTTGACAAGTGTGTTAAATTAACACATATATCGTCTAATTGAGTACATGTTGTAATAAATGTATGCATATATTCAAGAAGTGTCCATGAAGTTTGGGTACGGGAAAGTGTCGGGTACGTGTCCGGTACGGGTACGACTTCAATAATGAAGTACCCGGGTAACATAGGCTAAAACCAATCATCTCTGCTACTTATGATCAATCTTTCGTCATGCTGGCAAGAGGAGGATCTCATTCATCAAATTAAATCAGGACTACTAGATGGCTGCTTATGAAGTCCTATGTGATAGTAAGATACCTATGAAAAGGAAGGAAAATTGTTGATTAAGCCTTTGATTTAGTTAATGAAGGAAGGAATTCTTCTCTCTGGTCATAGGATTGACTTGAAAGATCAGAATACATCAGTCATGCAAGGATTATGAGAAAACTTTGTGCTCAAGATAGCTTTTTGTTTACCAGCAAAGAAAGTGAACTGAGATTTGGGAGTCCGCTTACTTGTGCGTAGGGGTGGAAATGAACCGAATTCTAATTGAATACCACAGTATTCGGATTCAGATTCGGTTAATTTTGATGAATTTGAATTCTAATCCTAATTCATGTCGAAGAGGAAAAGAGTGTTCAAATTCAATTCGTTAGTTACTCGGATATTTGTTAAACGTTCACGAATATCATATTAGCACACTTGGTAAGTTATAAACCTATTAAACATGAGGTCTTGAGTTCAAATCCTATGTTTGACATATTTTTTTGAATACTTTCTTTAACGTTGTACTTAATTGTTATTATGATATTTCATTATAAGAATTTATATATGATACCAATTCTAAACATGCATAAAACTTGTATAAAATTAATAGATAAGAGAAAAAGATAAGAGAACTTACAAAGTTCGGCTGCCCACTCTTAGAATAATATCTTCTTCAATCTTATGTATAAAAGGTAGCTTACAGAAGAACTTCTTCAAACTCACACTCACACTTGCAGAATTAAAACTTAAACTCAAAAACAACACACTGACAAACTTACATAGCTTCTCCTTATACAAGCTGGAGAAGAATCTTACAATAGACAAGCACTCATTACGCACTAACTTCCTATTACATTATTATAGTCAAAAGTAGCTTTATAAAAGCATCTTTTGAAAAGTCTCTCTTTAAGAAAGTGGGGGGATAGAGGGAATTTAATGAGTGGCTCCTCGGGACTCAACTCATAAAGGTAAAGTTTACTTTACATTATTAAAATTCCTTTCCTTTACCTTTAAGGTCAGATTTTGGAACCTGATTTAGAATTCCCATGGCAGCTTTCCAAATGTCTTCTTCTTCGTCTCCTTGTGCGTCTGGTAAAGTACTATCTTCACCGCAAGAATCAAGGCTTTTATTAGATTGAGTTTCCATATTATCACTTCAAAAAATTGTCTTTTCTTATGCCCAAGACATTTCTGCTGAATTTCAGCTTCAGAGGCTTGTGGATATTTTCGTCTGATTGCTTTGGCTAACTGTATCATAGGGTTATTCTTTTGAATCTCTTGAGACATGGATTTTTCGAGAACAATATTATTTTTCTCTATAATTTCTTCAATTAATTTGATCTTTTCGTCAACAATGATTCCATTCCACCATCTACAATAATGATTTCTTTTGAGAATAGGAAGATGTAATTCATCCCAATCTAACTCAAAAGTCCATGTCCATATCCATGGAATTTCTGTTTCAGAGAAAAAGTATACAACGCATAAGCCTTCGATAATATTATTGTCTTCCATTTTAGAAATAATAGGATGCGACTCCACCCATGCCGAATATAATTTAGCTATGGGTTCAGGTAGGATGCTTAATTCAGCACCATAGATTGTCTACCAATTGTAGAACCATGAAGGAAGACCCCTTTTAAGGGTTTCTGGACAAAGTTTTATCATCCAAGTATGCTTATTCTTGGGATTTTGATAGAAAAATATATTATAAAAGGCCTGCTTATAATCCCAATAGTTGAAAGAATAAACTTCTTTAGAATTCTAGGCCTTAACCAGAGGTAGATCTTGGTTTGGGTTTAAAGCCCATTTTCGAGGTAAAATGACCTCTTTAATAATGCATTTGCTAAAATTTGGGGGAATCGTTTTATTTTCAGATCCCCAGAAATGGGTTATTTTCATTCCCTTTTGTATAATCAAAGTTTTCATCCAAGATCTGGATTTTAGTGACAATGTTGGATAATAATTGTCATTCAAATATCTTATTCGAATATTTTTAGTATCTTGCATAGAAGAAACATATTCTGGTTCTAAATATAGAACTGTTTCTGATAACCTTTTAGATGACAGGTATCCATTCTGCTTCTTATTTTATTATAGCAGAGAAATGCTCAGAACTATTATCCTGAGTATTTTCATTAACAAGGCCTTTATAAAAGGCTTGAGATGAGCTTTTAGCTGGGCTTCCTGAATAATTCTTCTTTGCAATAGTTCTCCATGAGCTTGATTCAGAAAGAGATCCTTCGAATAATTCATTAGGACTATAAGTCTTTTGAATATTTTGGGGTTATGTCCCCTACCTCTCCCCCCCTTAAAGAGATTATTCCGCTTCATGGGCACCCTGTAAAAATTCACGGGTATGAAAATCGGGTAGGTAGTTATTACCACTGTTTTAAATATCGGCCGATAATCGATATTATCGGCCGAGTTATCGGATTTGGGAGCTCTCCGATAGGATAACTTGGATTTTTAATCGGTTATCGTTTTTGGCAAGTTATCGGGGAGTTATTGGCGTTATCGGTACTTATCGGCCGATAAGTAAGGTTTTTTTATCGGGATTATCGGCCGATAAGTAAGGCTATGTAATCAAATGGTTTCATCGTGCGGTCAAGATGTAAGTTTTGCTTTCTA